AGAAGTAGCCTTAGCCTTCCTGCACAGTAGATTTCCTGGTCTGATTTGTCTACTGGGCTTGACACATCATCATATTCTTGAAGGTGATACCAACCCCCTTCTCGGCAAATGATCATTCTGCTTCAGGATAAATAGGAATATGGCCCTGAATCAGTGGAAGGTGCTAGCAAACATAAGTAGAACTACTCTCGTGACCTCTTTCTGAGTCTCCCAAACAGATTCGGGTGCTGTAGGAATCAGACAGTGTCGGTCTGCTCCAGCACAGCCATTTCTTGTATTCTTCTACATTACTCACCCATGTATAGATTGTCCTCTGCAGGATCATCCAGTACCTGAAAAGAAGAATATATCTACTTTAACTTCTGAACCATCATTCAGTTTCATCTCACACTACAGGCAGTTATGATGCCCTAAATGGCAGCACTGTTAATGTAATTCTCCCTATCCTAAAACTGTTTTGACCCTGCTACTCTCAGAATTAGCTATGTTGGCTAGGAATTCTAGAAATTATCCTCCCTACACTCTTAGGTTGTACGAGGTAGGGAAAGGGTGATCTAAAAACTATCCTGACTGGGACAATGGGAACTGTAGTCAAACACATTTGGAAGGAACCAGGTAAGCTATAAACTTTTTATTTTTACCAACTCAGGGTACAATAAAATAAATTCCATGGATACAGTTTTGCTGTAAAAAAAGATTCAATTTGTCATCAAAGTGTGCATGAAAATATGCTAATTTGGGGGAACCTAGAAATGAACAGATCCCATTATGCAAACAATGGATCAGATGTTTTTTTCTTTTACTCCAGAGGGCAAAACTAAAGTAAATTTGTGGAAATCGTAAGGCAAACAAATTTAATCAAACTTTAGGGGAACCAGCCCAATGATTACAGCTGTTTTCTTAGAAACAACAGCCTTGAAAGACAGTAGCCAGACAGTGTCCTTGGGCCAGTCACTTCCTCTCAGCCCTAGAAAGGAGGCAATGGTACATCACTTCTGAAAAACCTTTCCGAGAAAATTGCAGGGACATGCCTAGACAATCGCCAAGAAACAGACAGGACTGAACAGAAGAAAACAAAAACTGGAACTTAAATACATGCAGTTACAAACTACTTTCAACTCCCTCAGCAGTTCTGCAAGCTTGCTCCTGCCAATTCTTTGTTGCTGATATACATATATGCATGGATGACACCTTACAAAAAAATAACTTTGTTTGTATTGCAATTCCTGATTTGTTTTATATTTCCTTTCTTCTTTCAGAGGGGAGTTCTTCATTGAAGAAAACATATCCCTTTGAGCATTGTGGAAGAAGCAATAGGAAAAACAATAGAGGTGCTTAACTATGATGCAAATATTTCTTTATATCAACAATTTCCTCCTTGTCCTTGTGACGCTTCATCTTGTTCTAAGCTCATCAATGAGATAGCTTTAAGTTACCACTAACTGTATAAGTACTAAAGTTGTGTTTTCCTACTTATTCTGATACCATCCAGTAAAAGCCTCAAAATGCATAAAATGCATTATGCTTTACTACCCATTATTTTGGAAACAAAGTCAGGTGACCAGTACCAGAGTATTGAGGGAGGCACTTATTGGGTGTATTAGCCTAATGTGGGCACATGCCCCCTCTAGTCTCTGGTTAACCTCTCCTGCTGCTTTTTGTTATTTATTTCCTAAAGATGTGAATACAGTGGCATACAAAGCTTTAGAAAAACTACTTGGCAAACAGGTAGTCCTTGTTTAGCAATGACAGTTGGGACCAGTAGCTCAGTCATTAAGCAAAGGGGTCGCCAAGTTGGAAAGCATATGACTCCACTTCTCATTCCTCTGCCCTTTGGAATGTTTATTGCAGTACTGGATAATTAGCAAGAAGAGAATTAATGTTTGTGTTTACATTCATTGCAGAGTAAGGGATTTCAAGAGAGTAAGAAGGCACACAATGGGGAATACAATCAAAAGCAATACAGGAGTGCTGGCAGCCCCAAGTGCAATCAGGCCTGGCCGCTGCAAAAATGCTACACAAACAACTGGGTGCATTTCCCATGTATGCCTGCTTACTCTCTTGTAATGCCTTTCTCTCCAATCTCTTGATCTGTGAGGAGGGAGGGAAACAGGTCAGGCCCAGAAGAGATTGCCTATAGAATTTCCCCCTCCTTCACATAAAGCAAGAGAGGGATTACAAGAGAGTAAGCAGGCACACAATAGGGGATATACCCAGGGCTTTTTTTCTCGGAGAAAAGGTGGCGGAACTCAAACCTGGCCACGCCCTCATCAAACCCTAGGACCGCCCCTTTAGAGAACAGGAATGCAAGTAAAATTTGGGAGGGGCTATTTCCGGTGTGGGAGGGGCTATTTCCGGTGCGGCCGGCCCGGAAAAAGGTGCCGGAACGCGGTTCCGCCGCGTT